GTGTCGGCCTCCCGCCGTCCCCGGTTTGGTGTTAGCGTTACTGCTCGGGCTCTTGCGGGTACGAGCTCGCAGCGCTGCCCTCAGCACCTCCTGGCACTGGCTGCTCCAGACTTCAAAGTTCTGCAGTGAGAGCACACAGCTCCGGCTGCGCCTTCCTGCTGCTTTTTGGAAGTCTTTGAGTTGCACGGTGTAGACGAAGGTATTGCTAAATCCTGCTTTCTGCTCATCTTCCTCGTTAAGAGGCATGTCTCTAAATACCAGAATCGTTTGGTACTACTAAACTGAAAAAGTTTACTGTCCTGATTATTTATTTTTTTAAAATAAATGATCACTTCTGTACTGCAGCAGCACAAACTATAGAAGGATTGGTGTTATCAGGGTATAAAACCCACTGTGAGCTGTTCATATTCAGTGAGGATGGTAAATTAAAAGCGAGGCTTCATCTGCGGGAGGAGTCTCTTGAGGCTGCTCCCCAGGTGGATTAATTTCATTCCCCCAGTTGGTACTGGCTGCGCACCTCCTTGAGGGAGTGTAACTCAGGAATTTTATCCTGTTGCCTGTTTAAGGAAAATCAGAGAAGCAGCTCCCAAGAAAGAAAACTTATGATTAGCTGAAAGACTCTGCTTGGTGGTAGAAGACCCGAAAGTGTAGGAGGAAATTTTGCTTCCTGAAAACCTTCCTGATGCAATCAACAGCTGTGGTGCTGTCAGTGGGTGAGCTTGAACACAGAGGAGAAAATCTTCTGTGCCCCTCAGAGATCGTGGAAAGGAAGAGTGGTTAAGTAAGCTGCCTGAAAAGTGAACAATTGTCCTGAAGTTAGTTCCTGCTGGATTAATTTAAAGTGAATGCAAATAATCATTGCATTTCTGTGACGCTACATGGGAGAGAACAGGGACGGCTGTGTTAGCATGTAGCAGCTGTTTAATTGTCAGGCATTTGGAAATGAATGTAGAATTAATTTAACTTTCCAGGCATTAAAAACCTAGGCTTTGTGATGAGTTTGCAAATAGCTTTGTGTAAAGGGACAGTTCACAATTTGGCTAATTTTTTGCAAAGGAAGATTGAATGCAGTGTTAAGTGTGAAGGACTAAAATTTGTATCTCACATAGCTGAAGTGACTGTTAAGTGTTGCGCTCCCTCCACATCCATGACGAATGTAGCAGATGGGACAGTTAAGGATGCCCTTGCTGAATGTTGCAGGCCTGCTCCCTGCCATGGGGCTTCGGAGCTCAGGGTGTTTGCTGGGTACAGAGCCTTTCTTTGGCTTAGGAAGATGATTTCTCCAGAGGTAAGCAACATTATTTCCTATCTCAAGGAATTGTTTGAAAAGAAGCCAGAGCATTTGAGGGGCAGATATGGATGAACTACAAAGATGGAGATGAAACAATGGCCAATGATGAGCCACATTTTAGAGGAAGTTTGTCAGAAAACATGTTATCTAAAAGAAATTGTGCTTTTCCTATCATGTGTGAGAGATTGTGTGTTTTTTTTCTCTTTATTCTAGTTCATTCACTTTGTGTGCAGCCATTCTTAATACAGGCAGTTCTCTGCCATGTGTGGTGAGTTTGAATCCACAGAGGAGCAGAACAGACAGCAGTTTTGAATATTATCAGGTGTTTTCAATGATGCAGAAAGGTCTGCAGGGAAGGTTTCTCCAACAACTTGAACAATTCTTAGACTTGTCAAACAAGCTTGAAGGGCCTGAATCTTGCTCATCCCGTGTGACCAGAAGGGCCTGTGCAAACACTGTGATTGCAAGGCAAAGTACTGACTTGAACGTGTCCTGCTCAGTGTGACGTTTTGGTCTTGCTCACAGCACTGATGCAAGCTGGCATGCTCAGGCTGCAGTTGTAGAAAGACAGAGCATTCTGTGGAGCTACACGAGCTGACCAGGGAAGTCTTCCCTTTCCTGCTTATAAATCCTGAGCACTGCCACTCAACAGGCAGGGCTTCCCTGGAGTGGAGAGTATTCTAGGTGGCCAAGTAGAAGGACACTGTGAAGTGCCAGCTCCAAGGCTTGTCAGTGGCACTGGGATAGATTCCCTCCATATAATGTTTGCTGGCACTAAGTTTTATGGGAACCTGTGGTGTTTTAATATGAATTAATTATTACTTCAGGAATATTGAGGCAGTCAATGTTGAAGAATGCAACCCTTACTCTCGTGCAGTGTGGGTTGCATGTATTATTATTCTGTTTGTTGCCTCTGCCTTCTAGTTGAGTGTTACTCTTTCCTAGAAGGGCAGAAAGGTATCACTAAAATTGTACCTCTTGTCTTTGTTTTAGACTCTTCTCCAGCTCAAAAGGTCAAGCAGTATGCTAGGCTTCATGTGGAGTGCAGTAAATTGTTCTGTTATTTGTAGGACTGCCTTTGCTAGCCTCTACCCAACAGTCTAGACAAAACTGATAATGATTACTTGCAGAAGTTATCTTTAGCCTCATCTTGTTAAACTTTGTTGTGTTGTAATCTTATTCCCTCTGGTATTTTGGAAACTTTTTAATAATTAGTTAATTATTATATTACAGTTATATTACAGTATATTATTATTGCAGCATAATTGTCAGGCAGCTGGCACCTTTTGTGCTATCTACCGGCTGTGTAAACTGCAGGCATGAAAGTGTGGACTGAGTTTTCAATGTCTCAGTCCCTGCTGTGCTTATGTGGACAAGGGCAGGAGATGTCTCTCAGAACTTGTGGTAGGTGTTTGTCTCTATGTTGTCAAGACCTGCCGCTGTGAAGATCTAAAAGCCCACTGCTGTGGCTTGTCCTTCAAAGGCACAAAGTTGTTGTAGGCTGGTGGGAAGGCTTGTGTACAAAGAAATCTGTTGTGTATGAGAATAAGCTTGCTTCTGAAATAAAGCTGTTACTGAGACAAGGCCACATTTCTCATGTAGTTTTGTATATGCACTGGGAAGTGGGGTTTCTGTGTGTTTTATTTTGGGTTTTTTTGAATTGGGAGTGTTTCAGTGCACGTGTCTCAGGGGTCCGTGGCCTAAGGAAACATGAGCAGCCATGTCTCATACTGCAGCTAATGAGGACAAAGGAGATACGTTCCTCCCGAAGGGGATGAATCCAGACAGCTATCTGTCTGGGCATGATTTATCCTGTGTGGCTTTGAAGGTGCAGGCAGTGGAGAGAGAAGTCTCTCTAGAAGGATTGTCTTACCAGTCCTACGGAGGAGTAAATTGCTCTGGAAGTACTTGGAGCAGGCTAATTGATTTGTTAACCAGCTTAATTAATGAATGAGGTGTGATTGCTTCATGGATAAATGGCTGGGACTTTGGGAATGAAGAACAGCCCTGGGGAAAGAGAAACTGGAATGACATGTATCCTCACAATTTCTTTTTGATGAACTGTGTTCAGACTGTGATTTCCTGGGCTGAAGTCAAGTATGCCAGCGGAAGATCTGGCCCTTAAGGTATGAGTTCTTAGGGACTGTGTTTTACGTGGATTTATGTTATTCGCTTGGGGCTTTTGAGTTTTACACTAATTTAAAATAAAAAAAAAAAAATTGGGAACAGGTGTTGTTTGTTCTGTATCATAGCAGGAGACAAGAATGCCAGAAATGCTTTCTTCCCCTGCTAGATCCTGACAAGTGATAAGGTGTCCAGTCTTACCCTGGTTGGAACCCCTTATAGAAAAGGGCATGGTTACTTAATTCCCCTTCAAACACTTTTTTAAAATTCCCTCCTCTGCTGCAACATCTGCTAAAGCTGTTGCTACTGAGGTGCTATTGCTACAGCCTATCAAGCCAATTAGTAGTGTTCTCTTCACCCATGTGTATTTGTAAGGCTCTGTTTCCTACTTCAGGTGGTCAGCTTTCTGGATGTGTGAGGATGATCTCCTTGATCAGAGGATCGTGTGCTGGGGGCCTAGGACAGAGAGGGTTCCCAGCTCTTCTGGGATTGGGAAGGGGTGTGTGTGTGACAGTCAATCCTTTATATGAATGGTGACAAAACATTTGAAAAGAAGACTGTTTAGCTTCTAAATTGAGTGTTATGATGGGAGAGTAGAAAGCCCAACTGAGGATTGTATTACACGATGGTCTGTGCACTGCCTGCCTTTTTGTTGGTAGGATGGTGTGGTGAATTGCTGTCACTTTTGAGTTTCCCTTTAAATCATGCGAGATCTGAACAGGCTAGCACTCACCCTAGTTTTGCTTCTTTTTTTCCCCCTTCTTTTCAGAGCAATTTATCAAGACATTGCCAGAATACCACGTGGCTGATCCAGCAAGAGTAGATGCAAGCGGGCGTTTTCTTTCTTTTAATTTACACCATCACATCTCAAACACAAGGAAGAAGAGAGATCTCAGCAAAAAGGAAAATGTGGTATATTACAAAATTAACCATGAAGAGAAGGATCTATTTTTTAACTTGACTGTCCACATGGGATTTCTTTCCCATAACTACGTAGTAGAAAGGAGACGTGGCAACCACACTAGTGCAAAGATTGCAACTCGCTCGGGAGTTCCTTGCCACTTCATTGGCACAGTGTTACAGCCAGGTTCCGGGAGTGGGACAGCAGTGATCAGCACTTGCAATGGCCTGGTAAGTGATGTGACCTTTACCGGGGTTCTGGGCTAATTTTGGTGTCATTAGAACTGAGCTAGAGCATTGGTATATGAATAAGTCTGTTAAGAAACTGGATGAGCCAATCTGATACCTTACTGATATAACGCTCTGAAAGAATCAGTTTAATAATATGGATGTCATCTGGATTTTTGGAACAGAGAATCAGAAGGTCAAAAGTTGATGCTGAGGCCCCTTGGGGTTTACTTTTCACTACATTTTTTTCTGGTGGTCTGGACTGCACATCTCTATCATTCACATGGCTTGAAGTCATCCAAATATCCAGTCATTGCTTTGATCGCTTTTGAGTAATAGTGATAGGATGAACGGAAACAGCCTCAAGTTGCGCAAGGGGAGGTTTGGATTGGATATTAGGAAAAATTTCTTCACTGAAAGGGTTGTCAAACATTGGAACAGGCTGCCCAGGGAAACGGTTGAGTCACCATCCCTGGAGGTATTTAAAAGATGTGCAGATGTGGTGCTTAGGGACATGGTTTAGTGGTGGACTTGGTAATGTTAGTTTTACGGTTGGACTCGATGATCTTAAAGGTCTTTTCCAACATAAATGATTCTGTGATTCTATGATCACATTAGTAGTTGGAGTGCCTTTGCTATGCATCTGGATGTGAGCTTCTGTTTTAGTTTCCTCTAAAAGGAATGTAGCTCAGGTGCGCTGAAACTGCTCTGCAAATCAAACCAACTGATGGTAGCTTGGGAAAACTGGGAGATTTGCTTCAGAACTGCACTGCAACTTCAGAAATAAATGATAGGATAGATACAACCTTAGTCAGAGCTTTAAATTCAAACCTGAACCACCTCTAGGCATCCTTCATTCCAAAGAGCTCTTCTAAGGCTGGACCTTGAAGGGTTACATTTCTCAATAGCCTGTGGTTCAGACTGAGACAAGGAGGTGGAAACCTTATTTTTGCTGTGTTTTGTTTTTTAGCACTACCATAGCTTAGGTCTCTAGTTCTAGAGGATAAGGCTGCACCTATCTTGTCAGGGAGGGGAAGCAGAGACAAACTGCCTGAATGTGAAGGGGATGCTGTAGAGAGCTGTGTAAAATGGCACATATAATCTGTGAGATGCAAAATGCAAAGGGTTTCTGGAGTGTGCGGGCAGAGGTGATGAAGTGTGTGCAGCATGCATGTGCTCTAGCGCCTCGATCCTTGAGTGACAAATGATAGTATTTGAAAGTGCGTAGAGCAGTGCACTGATGCCTTTTGGCCAACACATCTCAGCATGCAACAGACTAGGATCTGATGTTTCAGTCTTGAGCCTGAACTCAACACCAAGGTGAGTGTCTGTAAAGTACCTGCCTTCCCTGCCAGCCTGTCAATATTGAAGTATGTTCCCTGCTATTGAGAAGTATGAAGCTTTCAGAACCTTTGGAAAATCAGTGGGTTACAGAAGTATCCTGGCAATGTACGAAAAGTAACGTGAAGACAGCTTTTATGTAGATGAAATGGGAAACTTTGGAATCTTACACAAGTGCTGATAACACTTTTGGCACGTTGCCTAGAGAAACAGACCATTGCTTGAGGTCAGAAGCTTCAGTCCCACAGGCATGAAGATCAGGGATTTTCTAAGTAATTCTTCCAGTGGGGACCAACTTATCAAAACTTCCCTGAAACACATTATGGTCATACAGGGTCAGTAAGGAAAAGGAGATATGATGATACAAGTTGTTCCTTTGGTTGGTTTGTCTTGTGCTTTACCAGAATGTCTTTGTTAGTTTTCATTAGGATGAGAACTTGAAAATGAGGTGCTAGGTCTTCATTATGCCTTCTGAAGTATTTAGTCTGCAACAAGGATTTAGAAAAAACCCTTCAAATTACACTTTAAATTCAGCTTGGTAATATCCTTCAAAGTGATAATTTTATTTGGGTTACAAACTTTTTGAGGTTTACTTTGATTTGGAGGTTTGTGAAACAATGTTTGCTAGAATACAGGCTTGAGGATTTTTTCTTTTTGACAGAACACTTGTATCAGAAAAATACTGTTGTGGTTTGGTTTCCCCCTCTACCCCAAACTGAAATGTTGAAAATATAGAATCATAAATTAATTCAGGTTGAAAGCGACCTCCTGGGAAAAACGTGATGGTTTTGATGCAATGATTTTTGAAGTCCAGAAGTCAATGCTCTGAAGAGATGGCAGTAAGAGCTGGGTCTGAATCTCTTATTTGTCTAAATGCCACAAGCTGGGGAAAGGTGGTTTAGCTTGCCTTTCCCCTGAAAGTTTTCCAAAAGATCCAGTGTTATATGAAAACATTTATTAATTAATAGTTTTGCCAGCATTGAGAAATGCAATCTGGTTTTCAGGATAAAAACCTGACACTTCTGAAACTGTGGTGATCTGCTGCTTCCTGAGCTAATGGTATCTTATTTCCACCCTGGAGATGCCCAATTTTTTGCTCTTCAGTACCATGTCTATTTCTGCTTTTTTCTTTTTTTTTTTCTTTCTTCCTGGGATGTGTTGTGTTTCTCCATTGAAAACATTTTTTCTGTTTATTCTTATAAGGAAGGGAAGGAGAACTGAGAATAGGTAAACACCGTGGAAGTAGAGCAAATTATTTGAGGTACTAAAAACCTATCCCATGAGGAGAATTTGTAAGCTTGTTTACTGTAGGAGATTCATTCTAAACTACTTGATAAAAAGTTATATGAAATTATTAATTGGACAGGGTGAATTAATAAGGATCCTTGGGGCTGAGATGGGAAGACAAGGAAGATAACAAAACAGTGTGGTTGAAAGGTGCCAGCTTCCCAGAATATGCTTTGGCAGCAGTGGCTGCTGCATGAGGGGTCACCTGTGACAGTCTGGGTCAGGACGGCACTCTGAGTGTGTACTTCAGCAAATGGATCCCAATAAAACTTAGCTCCTCAGCCCACCACTGCGAGCTGGCAGAGTGCTGATGTGCTCAAGCCTCATAACCCAAGAGCTGGTAAGAACCAACATCTTAGCCTTCAAATATGGGGAAAAGGAATATTAGCAATGTTCCTTTCCTGATACTGTTTTTGCTTGACAGCTCAGGTACATTATAAAATGATAAACATACTTTTTTTGTTGCGATGGTCTTTAATAAGCTAAATGAGGCACTGATTTACCATGGTAATGAGTGACAGGAAAGTGTGTGATCCCTAAACTGCTAATTTTTGGCTTTTGTAATGATAGGAGCTGGTCAAAAAATTTATGATACTGGAAAATACTGATTTGATTAAATAAATACGTCTTACTGGAATATCCCTTTTGTTGACATTTTTAGTGGGAAATGATTGAAATGTCATCTTGTAATTTTGTCCAAGTGAATTGCTTAAGAATATGTCATCTTTTGCAACACTGCCCACCTCCCCACCCCCCACCAAAAAAAAAATTTTGGCCTGAAGTGGGGCAAAATAAAATCCTAAAGATGCCTGTGGGACAGGAATCCTAGATTTAGTCCTCTTTCTGGAATGACTTCCTCTCATGTGAAGGCTATTTGGTTTATACTTGAAAGTTCCTGAATTTTCAGGATAATAGCAGTGTATAAGAACAAAGATGTGTAGTGCAGATTTGTGTTCTGTCATAAAGATCACTCACACACAGCACTGGAAGTATAGAAAAGCTAGAAGTGGATTTTCATCTCCCTTGTGTTTTTACTTTGAAATACATTCCTGCTTCCATTGGCATTACACGGGCATCACTCATGTAGCAAAGATATTTGTTTTTATTCTTACTACCTGTTTTTATTCATGACACTCTTCAGAATAAAATTTCTTCTGCATAAATCAAATGGATGGTGCTGAGAAGATGTGGTTTTCAGAGGGGCATCTGTTTGACTAAATCATATTGACAAAAGATTGAAAAAGAAAAGTGACACTTTCAAAATGTGGGAAACAGCTTTTTGCCATCAGTGCTTCTCCAGGTTGACAGTATGTTGCTTTTTCAGTTAGAATATCATCATACTTAAGAATTGCAGCATTTCCTTAGTTGTTTTGAAAACAAAGTATGCTGATGTCTTACAAATTTCATTTTCCTATGTATTTATATGTTCCCAAAATGTCCTGCAAGAGGAATAACAGAGTGACAGATTTGAGATATAAGAATGGGGAGGACAGTCATTGTATGACATTGTTCTTTTTTAAAAGTGTAAATATGTTTCTAATTTCAGAAATATATTTGGAAACAAATGGCTACGTTCATAAGGGATTTGGGCAGAATCGGACAAGAGGATAAAAAGGATAAACTAGCAGAGATTTGGAGGAACCAAGTTGTAATTTCCAAATCCATTTTTTTTCTAACACCTTGTGATATCCTTGTTTCCCTTTCATGCTAAATAGGTCATGACCTTCTGAACAGGTTGAAGAACATGATGCTGTAAGCTCTGTCTCTTCTTCTCTGGGTCAGTTGTTTAGTTGAGTCTTTTGCACTTCTGGATCTTGTAGAATAATGCATGAGACTGCGTTAACATGGGAAGAGTGGGGCAGACCTTGCTGTTTATTTTGGGTCACAATTCAAGGAGGAAACCCCAGAGAGGAAGTCACTACTGGAGCACCAGAAATGGATCAAACTGTGGCACTTGGGAAGAGAGCAGACATGAAATGTCTTAGGTACAGGAAAGTTTCCAAGAAGAATTAAAGGGAGAAAACAGTTTTGTTTTTGTCCCTCTCAGTGGAAATACTATTTGATTTGTCTTGGCAGGCTATTTAGGGCACACTTCTAATAATACTTTATGTTTCCACAGTGCCTTTCCGCAGAAGATTATAATGAACTTTTCCAAATACTAATGCCTTAATTCTCAGTTGTGTGTTAGTCCTGAGATCCCTTGTGTAACAGCAGTAGTGTCAGCTTGTCCCCTTGGTAGGGCTGGGAGGGAGCAAAGCTCAATGAATACCCTAGGTTTATGCACCGAGTCCTATAGAGCTGGGAAGTGAATTTTTCTCTGATAGTCTATCCTCTTCATTAGGAACAAGGCCCTCTTTTATTCATTAGTAACACAG